CCATATAAGACTTTGAAGATTATAAAAGTTACTTATAGGCTCACCCAAAATTACATATGTATGGGGTACATAATAAATTTCATATATTATTGCGGAAGTATATTGCTCATGAAGCTAGCAAGCTTGTCACATACCCCTAGACATCCAACCTGATCTAGCATTTATAGATAAACCAGAAAAAATTATAACTTATGATATGAATCAGCTCAGAAATAGAGAGATTCCTTTTGTCTGTGCATTATTATAGCACGGGACAAAAAGAAATGCCACATGGAAGAAAGAATCATAAATTAGAAAGATATCAACACATTTTCAATTGATGTATGAACTATGTTCTTGTTCTATAAATAATAAAGACGAAAATTTTATGAGAGAAGATTGTAATAATTATATGTAAATTTTAATTAACTTATTTATAAATTAAATAAACTAAAAAATACGTGGTTGAGACACCTACTTTCCAAGTTTCATCCAAATAGCCCGCACTAATGCCCTCGATCTTCACTTCACGCGAGCAGCTGAGAGGATAGAGAGAGTAGAGAGGAGAGAGTGGCAATCTTATTGTCGCGCAACCAAACAGTGGCTCGAACGGCTCGAAAGAGTCTTCTTCGAGCACATCACAATTGTCCCAGATGAGTGTAAGCAATGGAAGGGGAAGATCGAGCTAACAACGCACCTTCCACACACACAGGAATGCATGTAAGACGCTGGACCGAGCGTCTTTGAGCCGGACTCAAAGGGTGACGACACGTGAGAGCGAGCGTTGTTAGACAATAAGGAGGAAGGGAAAACCAAGAGGCTTTTCTCCTATTGTGCAGCATTTTTCGGCACCCGAGAAGCTCAACCAAACCCTATATACTTTGGAAGTTGAAAAAGGGGAAATGAACGAGGAGCCTGTGAGGGCTTTCCATCGTTTAGGTATAATTTCGAAATTGAAAATTAAATTTGTATGTTTTATGAGTTATGAAATTGGAATGAAGAAATTTCAGAAAATTCTAACTAAAAAAAAATTAATTTTGAAAATCTTGTTATAGGTTTTTTATTTGGGAGTTGAATCAATATGCATAGAAGAGACATCTCATGTATGAAATCAAATTTTAATGGCAAATTTAGTTATTTTGTTAATTTTGATTAAGATTTGGTTAGATGTTATTAATCCTAAAATTTCCTAAATGAATTACAATTAGGGGTGAACTCGATGAAAAAAACAATTAATTTGAAGATGTAGAAAATCCTCCTAGATGTAAATATTTCACAATCTATAAATATATATATATATTAAATTTAAATGAGATGAAAATGATTTAAAATTAGAAATAGACACATAGCAATAAATAAAAACATAATTAGATAAAAAGTAAAGTGAATGTCTAAGTTAGAATTAAAATAAAATAAAGATAGAATAGATAGAATCTAAATTATTCTCATAGGTGAGTCAAAACACTATTTATTTCTGAAGAAACAATAATCGACTATAGACAGTGCAAGTGAGCAAATATATTTTTATTTTGCAATTGTTTTTTTTTATTTATGAAAGCAATTATATTGTTTTTACAGCTTCTAGTAATTCTTTTAAAATGCAAAATTTGAAGGAAAAAAAAACTTTCAAATGTTAAATAGAAGAGGAAAAAAAATACAATACATACGTTGAGTCACCCCAGATAGTACTGGCAAGGATGAAATGTACTCATGCACAAACTGAAAAAAAAAATTAAATGATTTTCTACCTCTTTTATGGGTTTTGAAAGATGTTAAATGTATACTTTTAGGAAGATTCGGAAGGCAACTCCCTCAGACGGATATTGTAATTGAAATGAATAAACCTAATTAGAAAAAAAAATATTTATTGTTTTCTTATTACTACTCAAGTTATTTTTACTGCCTAGTGCATTTTTATAAATTAACAGAATTAATCTATTTAAAATTTTTTACCCACCGAGCAGTTAAACTAAAATCTCTAGTTGCTAACATTTTTAAGAAAAATCGCTGATAGAATAAATGGATCCCAGAGATTATGTGTACAGATGTCGAGGAACTCAAACTGATAGATATAATTCAGTTTTTAAATTTTTGTTGGTTGCAAATTTTAAATTCTTTACAACCTTTTTTTGTAAATTAAAGTTATATGAAATAAAAAACCTCTTGTGTTTTGGGTTAGATTTAATTATGAAAAAAAAATATTTATATAATTAGTTTTTCCTCCGCCCGATCGACCGCTCCTTTTGGTATTTCAAGCTTCCGGGCCGAGTCACACAAATAAACTAATAAAAAAAGAAAAATAAGAAATTATAGTTTAACAAGAGAAGAAAGAGACACCAAAATGTAATTGGTTGCAAGTGATTGTTTTGAAAGAAAGAATTTTCTATCTAAGCTAACGAAGCAAGAGTCAAAAAAATTAGTTTCATGAGGCTTCTCACAAGAAAGTATGGACAACAATGAAAATTCTCTCAACCTGTGAGGCAAACAACAATTAGAATTTTGCTTTCCATAGTTACTCAACCTAACATGGATCTTGGCCAATTGGACGTAAAAATGAAATATCTTCATTAAGAGTTAGAAGAAACAATACACAAAGCAACCTAATGGTTTCATTGAGGAATAAGGTTTGTCAACTTAAAATACCTTTGTATGGACTAAACAACCATCAAGAATGTTGTCCATGAAGTTTGATGGTTACACAATAATGATAGGTTATAAAAATGATACTATGATTCATGTATTTATCATAATATCATCGAGTTTTAAAAATGATTTATCACTTTTGTAAGTTAATGACAAGCTTATTGATAGACAAAGTGGGGTCGAAGTATCAAATGTTTAAAGAAAACTCCAAGCAAATTTTAAGAAAACAGACTTGATAAATGAAGATCATTGGAATGGAGATAATGAGAAATTAATTTTCCAAAACGACTTATTTCCATCAGAAAAATCTTACATGAAATGACACTTAAGAGATTTGAAATGTGGAATTCAAAAGTTATTTTAACAACCTTAGCTCAAAATATGAAGTCAAGAAAGTATAAGTCAACAACAAATGATATGGGATGATGTATATGTTGTGGATATATAACCAAAACATACTTTTGAGCATTATCTATACAATGGATTGCAGCATATCTGATTTTGCATACAGAATGAGTATGGCTAGCAAGTATATAGATGATCAAGATGAGAACCATTAGGAGGTAATGAAAAAGATTATGAACTATCTCAATGTAACATATGATTTATGCTTGAGTACACATTCGCAGACCACATGAATAAATAGCTTCTTATACAGTCATTTTAACTAATCTAATTTAATTCTGAACAACTGCAAGTTAATTATTTAGTTCCTTATTTACACATTATATAACCCTTTATGTTACCTTGGGTATTGATTCTATAAATACCATAGGATATTATGACTGTTAACAAATTCTAAATTCTATGCCAGCGACTTATCCTCTATTTTCCCTTTCATTCTCCCTCTCTTCATCCAATGTAGCATATAACTGTTCTAGGTAAAAAGATAGAGTTCATATTCATACAACATGATATATTGGTTCTATCATGAAAACTTCTTGTGTCCTTCATTGTTGTTATCTTCTTCATTTGCTTTGTTTCCTTGAATCTTCTCCTCTAGTGGCTCGAAGAACTTTTAGAATGTTTCAAGATGTTCAAGTGTTATCTGTTACCAAAATTATGTGAAGAAGACAAGTTTAGCTCAAAAAAGAAGGTTGGACATAAAGTGTTGATCTTAAAGAACCTAAATCATGAAAAAGAGTAAGAGTAAGGGTTTGTTCAGTACAACATTATGTCTGCTTTGCATTTCAGACCGCTATCACAGCACCATTTGAAGAAATACTTTCTTGCTGCTTTTTAGAAATTTATGTGGTGGGAAGCTGCTCTATTCAACATAACCTATTAAAGTGTGTTGGTTGTAAGAAAGTTGTTAACTGATTTTTTGGAAAAAAATGTATATTTATAATTCCCAGTGCAGCTTTTAAGAAATGATTTCCTCCACCACAGCTTTGCAACCACCTTTTTTAAAAAACTTCAGCCACCCCAAACATACCCTAATTGGAGTAGGAAAACACAAATTTCATCAAAGATTTCAACCAAAAAGTGCTTAAAAGAATTCTTCACTCATACCTTCTTATTCTAATATTTTTTTATACATGTATCCTAAATTGTATCATAAGCTATCTAGGGCAGCAATTGAATCAAGAGGAATCCTATTTGAACTCGGTTTGAGCACTTAATTCATTTGTTCAAGATAATGGTTGTTCAAGCTCAATTTGAGCTTGACATGAGTGGAATTCATATTAAAACTTTCAAACCTATTATGGAGCAACTCATTCAGCAAAATATATGACCCTCTACAAGCGATATTGTTAGCTTTATACAAGCAACTATTTAAAAAAAATGAGCCTTATCAAACCAGGCATGTTGAGCCTGAGCTTAAAAAATAAACTTTAAAAAAAAATACTATTTGCAAATGAACCATAATAGGGCTTCTTAATGAGATCGTTTATGTTTTAAACAATATTGTGCATGATCATAAATGAATTGAGCAAGAAAAAATTCAAATTTGTTCCTTTAACAACCAAATATTTACAAAAGTGCTCAAGTTGGTTCGATAAATTAATCAAATGATAATGAACAAGTTCTAATTGAACTAAATCAAGAACATCTCATCGAACAATTAATTCATTTGCATTCCTAATGCTATCCTCAATGTCTCAAAATGCGCCCATGCTTAATAACCAATAACAAAGTATACTAGAATATTATAAAGCTTAAAAAACTATAAAGAGATAAAGAAAAATCACATCATTTATTCACTAATATTAATTGATGATATTCTATTAAAATTTAAACAACACTTATCAACAGTATTAATTATAAAAAGACTAACTGTTACTGTCTATGATAAGAGGGAAAGTCTATTTTTACTTAGCAAACAATATTAAAAGAACACCATTTGAAGGATAAAATATGTGTACATCTGACTATACCTTTCACATCTTTAGATTTAGAAGGATTCAAGCCTTTTTGTGGATTTTGTGCCTTGTTAACCTGTCCAAAAGCAAAAAAAAAAGAACAATTTATTATCAATTCTAGAGAGCATAGCAAATACAAAAACTAGTGAGGAAAAGATATGAAACACGTCAATAAAACATATTCTAGAGTGCCTTTCTTACCGCATTAAACAACTTGACCACTGAAAATTCCGCGCGAGCATGCAAAATAAGTATTGTGATGTTAGAAAAAAAAATTAAAAAAGGAACCTAATTATCATGATCAGGTCTTGACCAAACACATTTCAATAGTATTTTGCAAAGCAATTCAAACTCAAGTATGAGTTGTATTATTCAAAATATCCAACTTTTTGAGTCATTCTTTGTTTTAATCTTAAATTTTGGAAAATGGCTGCTATTTTCATTATCATTTATTTATCATTAAAAAAAATGTGCCATGCAAAATGATTTTTACAACCTTCAATGGAACAAACCATGGTGACTATCATAACTTTGCAAGTGTTAGAAATAATTATAAAAATAGTCGTTAATACATACATATCATTTATTTATCATAAAAAATATGTACAATAATTATAACCGTCCATCCTTCCGTCCGTCCCTCCATCCATCCATATGCATGCATGCATAAATCCATCAATACATACACAATATTCATATATATATATATATATATATATATATAAAAGAGAGAGAGAGAGATGTGTGTTTGTGAGTGACACCACCGTGGCTCATTGGTTGGCAGTGTTTGTAAAACCACGAGGGTCACGAGTTCGAGCCTTGCCTCGAATTAGTGACATAGGGTTGGTTGGGGGTTCGCCCTCTAGCCAATCTTTAGAAATATATATATATGCATTAATTAAAATACCTGAATATTAATAATTCAATAAACATCACAATTCAAATTTTAAAATAATGATATCCATGATTTGATAGTTAGGTGCTAAAAAGTACTTATTGGTATTCAGTAGAGCACACCGTTGGTAAAAGTACCTCAACACCAATAATTGAAATTTTAAATTCTATTATCACAATTTGTATTAAACCTGAAATCTAGGCAATGTTGTTTTTACCATCACTTATCGTGTGTGCTTTACTTTTGTTGTTATGTGGGTACCATTCTTAAAATACCTAGTGTGACAAAATAAGGAGTATGTGATCTTACAATAAAATTTTACCAGAATTTTATATGCAAAATAAACATATTCTTGCCTCCTTTTGTCGCGATACTAATCAGAAGTTTCTCCTTTGCATCAAGAAATCCCACCGGTTTTATGTGTCCCTTTTCTGCAACCTGTTAACAGTTTAGCCTTTAAATCGGACACATTTTATTTATAAATAACAGAAATCAGACACCAAAACAAAATTGTCAGCTCAAACATTGAGTACGAACCATGAGTTTCTCATTTTTGACCTCACCCTTTGCCTTGTAATCAGCCTCCTCTTCCGCTAGCTTCTCAGCAACGAGCTTCTTGTGCTCAGATAAAACTGGTCCCTGAAACAGAATTAGAGTGAGAAAACCTTGTTTACTGTAAGCAAATAAACCTCATAAAAAATTACAAACCAATGGATCGTTCGTGAGATTCTTTTTCATAATCTTCATGAAAGCCGTTTTAAAAGCTCGACAACCATCTGTAAACTTCGTAATCCCCTGTCGATGAACATAACCTTCACCATGTTCTTCGTTCTCAGATCCACTATCCCCCTTCAAATCAACAAATCCCATTGGCTCTTCCTCTTCACTAGAAATCTCATCTTCTTCTATCTCATCTGCATCAGAACTATAAGCTTTGGCCCTCTTTTTATAGAGCTGCATCATTTTCTTGCTAGGTTTTTTAAACTTCGGAGTGGCGCTATGTTTTAGCTTCATCTTCTTGCGGTTTTTGTTGGCTTTTCCAGGATTAGGTTTCCTCTTCCTCAAGATAGTCCCCGCTTCTGGTTCCATTCTTTGGAGCTTGTTTGGTACCGGCTTTGAGCAGGATTTAAGCAAGCATTAATGGGCCGTCTGGCAACTGATTTAGAGCAGGATTTGGCCTAAATCCTGAGAGATAGTCAGTTCGGACAAAATAAAGCGGCGGATTTCATAAATCCTTACTGATTTCGGCCGTTAATCCCAGATTTGCAAAATCCTGTGAATCGGTAGATCTAGTAAATCCGGGACGGGCGATTCGAGCGAAAAGGAAGATATGAAGTTACCTTCCTCCATTTGTCTCCATGATTAGTTGTAGCAGCGGCGCGGAAGGAGATGAAAGATGGGAATTTTGGGTCTGTAAGCAGCAATCCCGCTCTAATTGCGACTGTATCGCGAGTGTTCGGTCACTAAGGCGGTGGTTTTGGACTAAACCGGGAGAGGGGGTGGGGACGGAGGGAAGAGTTTCGGGCGGGAGAGGGGAAAGTTTAGGGTTCAGGGTTTACGGTTTAGGGTTTAGGGAAGGTTCTTTGGGCGAACACTGAAATAAGAATTAATATATGTTTTGGGCGAACACCGGAATAAGAATAGCTTCGTATAGGTTATTATATAAATAATTTATATAATATATTATTATACAAATAATATAAATAATATATTATTTTATAAATGTTTTATATATACTATATTTTTATATAAATAATGTATATGATTTTCTTATTTCGAGCTAAAATAAGTCCAACACGAGCGAAAATAAGCCGTTCGTGTTTGATTTTTTTGTATTTTGAGCTTAAAAAAATTGTTCATGTTCTGCTTGTTTACTTAATGAACGAACCATACTCAAGATACTTAAAAAGTTGAACAAGAGTTGTTCACGAACAATGAGCATTTTTGATAACCCTAATAGCCTTCACAGACTTATTCTCAATAGGAGCAGACTTAGTAACAACAATAATCCTGACAATGGACTTAACTTTGTCAACAAACTTCTTTTTTTATCAATACCTTATTTAGTGAAGGAACTCATCATTAAACCGCAAATTTAATTCAATGAGTGGCTCTACAAATTCAACAGCCTCGGGCTTGACTACAACAACAGTTATATTTCCCAGCATCACGCCAATCTTATCAAAATCCAATCTATACTTAGTCATGGCTCCATCCGACGGAGCACTCTATATAGTCTATGATGGTGCTATCAGAGGGACCAGCAGGCGACGGAGCTGCAAAAGCATTAATCAGTCTATTGAATAAGCTTTTCACAAAAATATTCTTATCTTTCTTCCTCCTGGTAAGCCTGGGCCTCTTTGACAGGGAACTGGACTCCTCCATCTTCTTCTGGTTAATATTAGGTCATTCTTCATCAGCTATAACATGCTCAAGTGGCAAATCATTTGGTATGTCTGCAAACCCCAACTCGCTTGGATTGAATGCATGATTTCCCGTCGCGACAACCCCCTTAAACATTATGTCCAGTTTATCTTCAAACTCCGGCTCAATTCCGCACTGCTTATATTTTTTTTTTGTTTGCATTGTCTATAATATTGTAGTGGAGGCGGGAGGTTTAGAGGGCTTATTAGTTAAACTAAAACATTATTAGAATGAATCAAATGAGAGTATAATTATTACATCTAATTTCTCGACTTACCATTCATCTGGAGCATCGATTATTCGCTTGATTAAATCCCAACCCAACCCGGTGGATCCACGTTTCAACTACTTCCGTATTTTTCACTCATTCATCAATTGATCCTACTTGTTTTTTGAATTTTAATCTGTCATAATCCCTTCCTATCAATTCTTTGAACATCTTGCCAATATTTTGTCAACCATCCTTGTTAAAATATGTGGTTGACCTATTTCTGAGTTCAATTTCTTCAATATAGAGATTGCAAAAAATATATGTTAGTACATTATCCCACATAACTGACGGACCCCATTCATTCGTCTTAACCATGTTGGAACTAAATTAAGAATTAATAGTTAAACAAATGAAATAAACATATAATATCTTGTTAAACCATGGTGCAATGAGGACGAAATAAGTCTAAATAAAAAAAAAACATAGAATAATGAAAAATACAAAATAAAACTGAAAGCATCTGCCTCATATATAGCTCCCTTATGCCTCAAATATGCCTCATGTATGGCTCATATATGGATAATGTTTCAATATATGCCTCAGTATTTGCCTCAATATGTGGCTCAGTATATGCCTCAATATATACCTCAATATATGCCTCAACATATGTCTCACATTTGCCTCGAGTATGAAAAAAGCATCAAGATTGTATATGTTCAAAGAATATATCTTTGAAAGGATTCGATATCAAACATTAGCCATTCAACTGCCAAAGCTGATAAAAGCAAGGTCAACTTCCCCATCAAGGCTCACCAGATACATAAAATGAACAACCATTTGAAGATGAGCAACAGCTTCCACAACATAGCATTTTCAAATAGTCCCTCAGAAATTTATACCGCCATCAAATCTCATACATAACTTCTTCAAATGGGTTTAGCTATCAATCATTAACCAATCAACTACCAAACCCAATAATAGTAAGTGTGAACTTTCGTATCAAAACTCTGCAGAATTCAAAAGATGAATAACCATCTAAAGATGATCAGTAGTTCCCAATCATAGAGAATCATCTTCCAAAGAGTCCCTCATAAAACTATATCAATAACAAATTATCTCATACAAAACATCTCCAAACAGAGACACAATTTGAAGGTAAAACAACATGAGTTCAATTCTCTAAATATAATCAATCACATAATTTCAATTCTCTAAATAGAAAATTTGTTTATTGGAAGACCAAAAATCTTGCTATAAAAAGAAATGAAAATATGCTTGTAAAAGGGAATCTAACAATGTAGGTAAAAATAAACAATTGCGGGGAAAAAGGGGAAAAACCCCTTGATATATCCATAAACATGAGCCTAGTAAAAGGGAAGGGCATCAAATGAAACACTCTGAATTAAAGACCAAAATAGCACATTGATCTCGACTTTTTTCGGTATAGAAGTAAAATGCGATGTATGTGATTATAATTTAATTCCTTAATAGTTATTCTTAATTTGCAACAAAGCCAAAAACTTGATCCAAAGCAAAAGATATGTAAGTTTTCCACTATGAAACAAATAAGAATACAATTATAATATTTAAATATGGGATACTACGCAAGTATATGTATTGTTATCAAGTAATATAAGACTTTTTTATTAAGCCCCAAATATTGAACCCATAGACACTTTAGAAAACTAGAAATTTTAGATGACAAAAATCTACTTAGCAAAATATTTCTACTTAAACTTAAGATGCTATAATATGAATGAAAATTCAATTTTTTTGTAATTTTTGGATTTATGAAACTAAAGTAAGCAACTAATTAACTAACTAACTATTTGTAAGATGAAGGCAATATAAGTAAAAATATTTTTTTCCTTATCATGAATCAGTAATGAGTATAGAAATTTTTTTGTGGAAGTATGTTAAATGTGTTGTGCCAAATAGGAGCAATAATATTCTTTTCCCTTACTAGAGATGCTATAAAGAACATTGGTTAATCTATAGTTTAAATAGTCTTGAAGACCAGTTACGTAGGGAAGATACTAGATCTCACTCTAGAGTTCCCTCTTCTCCCTCCACCTGGGGGCTAACGTCTTGTATCAAAACCTAAAACTATAAATCAAATTAGGGGTTTTAGTATGTCACTCTAAAGTCCACTAATTCTAAACCATTGAAAATTTTATTTTCCTATTTATTTGAACTCAACCCCATGAACTACATTCTCATTCATGAAATCAGTATGTGATTCTAATCATTTGTTGACTGAGACAATACCATCTCGGATCTTACATGTTCTCACAATAGGTATTAACATCTTAATTGACCAAACTAAGAAGTAAATTAAGTGTAAGGTTTCAAATCATCACAATTTCTTCCAACATTGAAGTCTAATACTTCACACAACTTCCTTTAAATACTTAATTACTTATCATTTTAAGGAATAAGATAAAGAAAAATACTCAGAATCCATGGAGAAAACACAACCGCACATGAGTTTAAAAGTAGAAATCATGCACACAAACAAGAAATCTAAATTAAAACCAAGTGTAGTCATAAAGATAAACAATTATCTCAAATATTCTCCACCAAATGTCTTGAAGTTGCTTTGAATTCTAATACACCTAAAAAATGTGCAATTTTTCATATGCTTTTAATGCCCAATTTCAATAATATTTTAATGATATTACACTTTAAAGGAAGTTATTTTGCATATTTTTTATTCCAGGGACAAGAAATGGAGTTTTGGTGAAAAAGAAACAAAAATGGTGCAATTTGGAGCAAAAACAAGCAAGAAAGAAAATTTTGTCTCGCACATTTCGATATGACTTTCTATGCTAAATCTCATTTACACTTTTCACACATTTCTGAATGAAAATACACTTTGAAGAAAGTTTTTTATATGCTTATTTTGTAGGTCTATCTGTTAGGAACGCAAAGCAACTGAAACGGGGTGAAACGTAGCTAAAACGGAGCCAAACGAAGCAAAATAGTGGAGCTGCGTAGGGTGGACGCCGGCAGCGCCAAAGCCGGCACCGGTAGCGCTGAAGGGCAGAAAAATGGCGAGAAAAAAGCGCAAACAAAGCCCAAAACGGCGCCCGAAACGGGCATGGATCGCTTTTTTGCGGGGTTTGATGTTCTAGAAGGCTCCCAAGCGATTCAAACACCCCAAGAAGCAATTCAATGAATCTAGACACTTGGATAAGACTCTTGAATGAAGAGACATGTCTTTTGGATGAATAGATTTGTCTCTTGGAAAAAAGGAGGGAATTTATGTCTCTTTAAAAAAGAGGGCTTGGCACCTCTCATATGCATGTGTGTGTGTGTGTGTGAGGGTGTGTGTGAGTGAGAAAATGTGAAGAAAGTTTAGTGATCTTAGAATAGAAGTAGAAATGTAGATTTCTACCTTTATGGAGAGATTGGTGAGGGGATTTTGAGAGAATTTGTAAGGGAATGTTCTAGCATTGCATGGATCAACGAGAGATTTTGTGGGAGAGATCTTCATCTTTCTTTCAAGGGGAAAAAATTAAGTATTGTGTTCTTCATTATCTTATAATTTTGTAAACACTTATCTAGTAGATTTGCTTTGATGTAATGAAGTTTTTCGTTGTGTTTTATTCGTGCATTGTGATGTGTTTCTCTTACTCTTTCTTCTTCTTAGGAAATAGTAGCATGAGAGAATTATGTCATTATTTTCCTTTTACTTTTCTTTTACAATGAGTAGGATTCATATTTTGGATTTTGGGATGCATGCTTGAAGTAGTTTTAATTATAGATGTGATGGTTTTTACTTGCACTTCATTTACATTACAATAAAGGTCTGTTGTAGTGTTAAAATTCATTGTAATTGTATTAAGACCCTGCATTAAGACCCGAGAGTGCGGTGTAATTCTCAACAAAGTCAAACCACATTCAAATTCCATGGATGGTGAAGTTCATGGCGGTTGGATGCAAATAAATAAGGAAATATA